ATACCCCTAAAAATTATAATAAATATATATATATATATTAAATTAACTATAAAATTTATAATAATTATAATAATTATATATACTATAATAATTATACCCCCAAAATATTAAGTCTATCTATAATAATTATATATATATATTAAATTTTATAAAAACTATAATAATTATTAATTAATAATTTAATATGCATGATGCATTGCATGATTTTGCATCCATTGAAATTTGATGTGATTTCTTTCCATTCAAATTTCAATAATCAATTTCTTGCCGTTGCCAACTTGCCGCCCTTTTTGAAAAAAAAAATGGAGGGAAAATGAAAATGTTAAGAAAAGTTGAAAATGAAACAAAAAAGTGAGGGAATTAGGGAAAGATGTTGGAGGGAAAAGTGAAAATGATAAGAAAAAGTTGAAAAGGAAACAAAAAAGATAGGGAAAAGCGAAAATTAATATAAGTGATGAGAAATTTTTTTTTTTTTTTAAGTTATTAACTTTTTATCACACACATGACTGTCATGACATATCTCACTATTTTTATAATGACACACGTGACACGTGATGTATGTACTATTCCGTGTACCAGTCAATTATAATTTATACGTACAAAATAAATAGATTTAAATCTACTTAATAAATATATATATATATATATATACACACACACACGGAACTTGATTGATGGCATACGAATTCTCCAAAACTAATTTCAACGATCCAAACCGTCAAAATTGTTTGTATATGCTTGGAGATCACATCAGCAAAAAATCACAAAAAAAAAACATTCAGAGATCAAGTAACGGGACAAAGCTTTTCAACGGTTATAAACGAAAAATCACGATTTAACGGTTATTTTAACTCCGATTTTGATGATTTTTTATAACTACACTCCTTGACCCTATATGAATACAATGAATGAATTCGATCTTCAATTTAAAATATTTACACAAGTGGATACCACAAAATCTTATGTTATACTTAATGAAAGTATAAATAAAACTCTAAGTTTTAGTCAATCTATCGTTTTACGAATTCTCCAAAACTAATTTCAACGATCCAAACCGTCAAAATTGTTTGTATATGCTTGGAGATCACATCAGCAAAAAATCACAAAAAAAAAACATTCAGAGATCAAGTAACGGGACAAAGCTTTTCAACGGTTATAAACGAAAAATCACGATTTAACGGTTATTTTAACTCCGATTTTGATGATTTTTTATAACTACACTCCTTGATCCTATATGAATACAATGAATGAATTCGATCTTCAATTTAAAATATTTACACAAGTGGATACCACAAAATCTTATGTTATACTTAATAAAAGTATAAATAAACTCTAAGTGTTAGTCAATCTATCGTTTTACGAATTCTCCAAAACTAATTTCAACGATCCAAACAGTCAAAATTGTTTGTATATGCTTGGAGATCACATCAGCAAAAAATCACGAAAAAAAAAACATTCAGAGATCAAGTAACGGGACAAAGCTTTTCAACGGTTATAAACGAAAAATCAAGATTTAACGGTTATTTTAACTCTGATTTTGATGATTTTTTATAACTACACTCCTTGACCCTATATGAATACAATGAATGAATTCGATCTTCAATTTAAAATATTTACACAAGTGGATACCACAAAATCTTATGTTATACTTAATGAAAGTATAAATAAACTCTAAGTGTTAGTCAATCTATCGTTTACGAATTCTCCAAAACTAATTTCAACAATCCAAACCGTCACAATTGTTTGTATATGCTTGGAAATCACATTAGCAAAAAATCACAAAAAAAAAAAAAACATTCAGAGATCAAGTAACGGGACAAAGCTTTTCAACGGTTATAAACGAAAAATCACGATTTAACGGTTATTTTAACTCCGATTTTGATGATTTTTTATAACTACACTCCTTGACCCTATATGAATACAATGAATGAATTCGATCTTCAATTTAAAATATTTACACAAGTGGATACCACAAAATCTTATGTTATACTTAATGAAAGTATAAATAAACTCTAAGTGTTAGTCAATCTATCGTTTTACGAATTCTCCAAAAATAATTTCAACGATCCAAACCGTCAAAATTGTTTGTATATGCTTGGAGATCACATCAGCAAAAAATCACAAAAAAAAAAACATTCAGAGATCAAGTAACGGGACAAAGCTTTTCGACGGTTATAAACGAAAAATCAAGATTTAACGGTTATTTTAACTTTGATTTTGATGAATTTTTACAGCTACACTCCTTGACCCTATATGAATACAAAGAATGAATTTGATCTTCAATTAAAAATATTTACACTAGTGGATGTGGATATCACAAAATCTTATGTTATAATTTATATACTTAATAAAAGTATGAATCAACTATAATATTAATAATTATATACATTAATTTAATAATTTTATATCCCTAAAAAGTAAAAACTATAATAATTATATAGATGTAGGTGTAAATTGAATACAATTTCATGATGATCGATGTAAATTGAAGATTTTGTAAATGGAGGTGTAAACTTTTGAGAAAGACTTACAATCTTAAAAACAAAAACTCTTTATCCTTGCACATTTAATATTTGTAATATATTAGTAGTGTATGTATTATTTTTTTTATTAGGCTTTTATTTTTGAGTGTAGATATAGTACTTGAACGAGAAATGTTTTAATGTTTTGAAGTAATATTTATGTGGCAATGTGTGGTATGTGCAAATTTAAAAAAAATATATTTTTTTCTTAACGGGTCATAATGGGTCATAACGGGTTGGGTCACTTTATCTGTTGGGTAAAGTGACACAACTTGTTAAGGACCCGTTAAGATAACGGGTGTGACACGACACGACCTGTTAAGATAACAGGTGTTACACGAAAACGACACGAACACGATAAACACGACCCATTTGCCAGGCCTATTTGCACTTGTCCGACTGTATAGTATTATTAGATTTAGTATTATGCCAAATGTCAAAAACTGGATACAAATTAAAGATACGCAAATAGTGGGAACCCGAAGCAAATTGCATGGTATATAGTGGGTTTCATAATATCAAGACGTACGGAAGTTGCAAACCAGAAAAAGGAAGAAGGTGAAAGAAAATGAAGATGGAGATGGAGATCATTTCAAGAAAAGCTATCAAGCCATCATCCCCAACTCCTCATCACCGCATGACTTCAAACTCTCACTTTTGGACCGAACATTTCCATCTGATTCTATGAAATATCATTTACTTCCTACTCCTCCATACCAACCAAATTAATCATAAATATTATATATACTGGAACATATTTACGTACTGTTCACAGAATATACTAAGTAACTGTACATATTCTTTTGGACAAGAATATTTATTTGACCCGCACAAAGCATGTTCTCAACTGGGTCACGTCTTCACCGTTGGAGGCACGCAATTTCTTGGAGGTGTAACAATCAATCATTAGTTGTGACTTCTTCGAACCATGCTAAGATTCGCTCCCTACATGAAGCTACATGTGAATGCTTTTGACTAAGATCCGTTATGGAACATATTCAAAGTGCTAGCGGTTTTTCTTCTGTCATTGACATCCTTATAACAACCTCTGAAAACAAACGCTACACGTATCGACCCGCTTAATAGAAGGGATACATCAAGGGTGACAACACCAAACACATTGCGCCGAAGTTCTTCTTTTCAAATCAACAACAGCAGCATCAGAACATTGAAGTCAAGTAAATATGTTCCCAAGACAACCTGGCCGATCTCTCACAAAGCCATTTTCCAAAGTCTACTTTGTAGAAGCTCGTCCAAGGAATCGGCATGCGTAAACTTTTTCACCTTAATAGCTTATAGTTCTCTTATTTGTAAGTTTTGTCAAGCTTAGGGAAAGTATCCAAAGTATACTCACTTGATCTTAATGTACTATTTTTTCCTACGTTTAGGAGCATTTTTCCCACTAGGCTTTTTGCTACCCAAGGAGGTTTTAACAAGGCACGCATCTTGAGCTGGTAATACCTTTGTGAGGTTTCCTACTTTTGTCTCGTGTGTGTGACGTTTAGTTTGGACATTATGCATACTTATCATGTTTTGTCCTTAGTCTATGGGCTTTTCTTCCATATTGGGTTTTACCGTGGCAACGTTTTGTGAGTTTTACTAATGCATGCTTTCGTTAATTTGAGACTCACATGCTCCCGTCGTGTCAATGACTTCATCAACTGATCTACTTCACTGCTGAAGACATGATGCAACGTTTTGCTTGAGTATTTATACACTCAAGAAGGAGTGTTGAGGTGCTAATGACAGTGGCGGAGCGACACCCACGACTAAGGTGGGTTGTAGCTTAGGGGGCTTTAGTTTGAACTCTTGCTAATAGCCTATGTATTAACCTACTACAAACCAATTATACTCATATATAGCCCACCCAATTCTAATAAAAACTATAGTTTAATATGTAATTAATGAAGATTTTTAAAGTAAAAAATGAAATTGTATTACCTGTTATGTCAGTTTGGATTATTATTTTAGATTTTAGAGTTTCATATTCATGTATCATTATATTATTTTATGTAGGTACAAAAAGTTATGTTACTTTATAGGAATTATTTTACCTAGCCCAACCATGAAATCAAATCTTGGCTTCACCCTTGCCTAAGGGTTTAGAAGTATGATCAAGTAAATCCTATTAAATATTGAGACATTCTTGTGGGATTCTACCATATCATATTTTTGAGATATTAACCTATTAAAGTTGTAATATTATTGAGGTAAGGAATTTATATTTTCTACTACTATAAATATAGTCACAATGGGATGAGAAAGAACACATCTCAGAATTACATCAACTCTCTCTTCTCTCTTTGCCCTTTAATTGTTCAGTTAGATAAACTTACAACACTGTCCACTGCAAATAATACAAATTGTATGAGAAAAGATGTCCTGTATCTCATATAAGAAAGATTTACACAATTAAGAAATTAGGATTGCAACTTACTAGCTAGTTCCTTGTGACTGCTGTCGTATTCTGTTCTCCGCTCGATTCTCCGTGGTCGTTTAAAAGTTCCCGCATATTTTAACCAACGGAACCCCCTCCAGCACATTCCACTGCACCCATGTGTACCTAATCCCCCATCTCTCTCTCTTCCACCCTCAGCCCATCACCGATAGCCGCCATTGATTTCGATCATACTCTTCCGAGCACAGCCGGCACCGCACCACCCAATGCTGCCCTACCAGACCATCGAGGAGGCCTCGGCGGCCTTGAGCCGAAACCTCACCTTCGCCGAGACACTGTGGTTCAACTACTCTGCTTCCAAGTCCGATTACGTCCTCTACTGCCACAACATTCTCTTCCTCTTCGTCGTCTTCTCCCTCGTCCCTCTGCCTCTGGTTTTCATGGAGGTTCTCAGGTGGGCCGGCCTCGACCGCTACAAGATCCAGCCCAAAGTCCGATTGCCCTTCTCTGACATGTTAAAGTGCTACAAGGACGTCATGTGGATGTTCTTTTTCATCGTCGGCCCCCTGCAGCTCGTCTCTTACCCTTCAATCCAGGTTCGAATTTTATCAATCAATTTCAATCTGCGATTTTGTCGATTTGGGTTCGCGGGGTTTTGGAAAAATGTTGAATTTGCGGAGTTGGGTTTGCTGGATTTTGAAACTTATTGACAAGTTTTGGAATCGGGTTTGCTGGGTTTTATGAAGAATTCGGATTTGGGTTTCGCTGGGTTCTGTAAAATATTGGATTTATGGAATTGGGGTTTGCGTGGTTGTGAAGAATGTTGAATTGGGTTTTAAAATATTGGGTTAGTTCCTTTTATTTTATTATTTCTTATAAATTTTTGTGTTAGGGAATTTGTGGGGTTTTGCATTCTGTGTAAAACGCAAGGAATGTGAATTTTTTTGAAAATCTGATGAGATCATTGTACCTCTGAATAATTATTTTTCTCGTAGGGATTAATTTATATGTTTTATTGTTAGAATACCTGCTGCAATATACTGGGTCATTAAAGTTCTCCTCAATTTCCTGTTATAGTTTCTGTTTTTTGCATCTTATGAATATGATTAGATTCTGTTTACAAGCAGTTAATCGGAATTCGAACGGGATTGCCATTGCCTTCTGGATGGGAGATGCTTTGCCAATTGTTCGTTTATTTCTTGGTAGAAGATTATACCAACTACTGGATCCACAGATTTTTACATAATAAATGGGGGTATGAGAAAATCCATCGAGTTCACCACGAGTACACTGCTCCGATTGGATTTGCAGCGCCATATGCTCATTGGGCTGAGATTTTGATCCTTGGTATCCCATCTTTTCTCGGTCCAGCCTTGGTTCCTGGCCACATGGTCACATTCTGGTCGTGGATAGCATTGCGGCAGATTGAGGCCATAGAAACGCACAGCGGGTACGCACGCTGCATTTTTCTTTTTTCGTGGTTCCTTTTCTTCTTTTGCTGATTGTGACTTAATGATGATAGCTTTTGAATTCCCTTCATATCTCTCTCTCTTTTTCTAATGTAATCCTATGCTAGGTACTTTAGATTTAAAGGTCTTAAACAGTGCCTTAACTTTTTAATGATGGGGTCCAGGATCAGTACGATAATGCCTTTTTTGCCTAAACTTTTATTATGTAAATTAGTACTTTTTTGTGTTCCCATTGGGTAGATACCTTCTATATGGATTGGCCAAACTAATCACTTAGTTTACAAATAAAAATTTTGGAGGAGAAAAGCAAAAACTTTGAATATTGGTCAATAATTTCTTGTTCAGCACCATGACGGTTGTTAGACATCCTTCTTGTGATGGATTCTCGCTGAAAAGTTTTGATATCTACAAATGGAGATTGCATGGGTTAACCACATGAACTTTTTAGATATTCTGGTTCGATTGTCATGTCTAAATGCATCGCCAAGCTTTTGTACGAAGTACAAACGCTGCAGTATTTAGTTATTTTTTAGAGGAAGTATATGTGTACTTTGAATTTCCTTCGTACCACTTTAGGGAGACATAGGACTTTTACGGACTGCCTTAGTTGTTTCTGATCACAGCTGCATGTTGTGGGTTCCTGTAATATTGAAATTATTCCGGTATTAGGAGGTGATTACATATCTAAAACAAAAAATGAAAAGTGATATTTTGAAGGACTAACCTTAATGACAAAGGACCCATGAAAATTCACCTGGGTAATGTGGGTTGAGGCTAGAGAATTGCATTGGTGAGGTTTATGCCACTTTATAGGTGGGATGTTTGTAGATAAAGAGCTAGTCCAGTCACATAGGTACCACACCGTTGCTTTTGTGGATCGGCTGAGAAGGAAGCCTCAGTTTATGTGCCAGTTAGACTGCTACAATATATGAATCCAGGTAGCCTCTTGGATGGCATGTCTATCCTAAATTTAAATGCGATGACTTCTTCCAAACTGTTTGTTTTTATGTTATTTTAGGAAGCACAAGAATCATATGGTTTTTCCGAACATGTGCTCTTTGTATCCTTGCTATGTGTATCTTATGAACTGAAATCTTGACTACCGTATGCAGAGCAAGTTTTAATCGATGATTTGTCATACAGTTATGACTTCCCCTGGACTCCCACAAAGTATATCCCATTTTATGGCGGTGCTGAGTATCATGATTACCATCATTACGTTGGAGGACAAAGCCAGAGTAATTTTGCTTCAGTGTTCACCTACTGTGATTACATTTATGGAACAGAAAAGGTAAAATACTATCTTGACACGGTGTACCCTTGTCTATTGATCTTAACTGATAAATGATTTGGCAATCATTAACACTTGACCAATTTCAACAGGGATATCGTTTCCAGAAGAAGATCCTTAAGAAGGTAAGCCTACAGAATGTTGTCTCCTTAGATTGTTCATCAATGTGGAATCGTGGCGATTGCAGTCATAGTTGTTGAACATATGGATTAGTGTGCCACGTCTTGTATTTTGTGTCTGCATTTGTTTTTGCCTTCCTTCCTTCTAATTACTCTTGGTGATCTTTTGCAGTTGAACGAGGAAACTGCCGGTGTCCAAAATGGAGGCTCCGTAGATCTTAAATCTGATTAGCTTCGAGACTGTGTAACCCTGTCCGCAGAAATTCCCTTTTGGTACCGTTCTCACTGGTGACAATCTCCGAAACCTCTGATTTCAGGTTTGCATCACAATGCTGGGGGTGCTAAAATAGAAGCTGTATCACAATGCTGGGGATGCTAAAATAGAAGCTGTAGTGAGTCAGGTGCAGTTCACTTTGGGTTTCACTGAGTTGTGATTTCCGGTAGCTTGACGGGCGGAATTGAAAATCACTAGATTGTAAGGTGGAAAGTTCAGACTAGTGTTTTTTTACATTATGTTCAAGGTATAGTAGTTTTATGAACTCGTACGTTGTTTGTGATTTTGAAATTAATTATCAGTTTTTCTAGCTAGATCTTGATATCGTATACTTAGGGCAATTGTGCCGAAAAACTGAATAGTTACCGAAGTAACGGTCCAATTTCATTGCAAGTGGCCCTTTACCACAGTAGTGGAAAGGTGTTGAGCCCTTGCATGACGGCGTGGGTTTAAATCATGTTGATGACTAATCTAACATCTAATCTAACAAAATCTGTTGTTTGATAAAAAATAAAAAAAATAAAAAAATGGCCTAATTTCGTTGGGTAATTATTTATGTATTATTTTGTATTTTAAGCTGACCCAAATCAAACCAAACCATGTGAAAGTTTGGTTAACCGTTAATGATGCCAGATCTAACTTGGAATTTAAGTAGCTCCTATGTGATCCAAGTTTCATGCAACTATTTATGGACTCCTTCCAAATCCTCCTCAAATTATTGTTCTAATAGAACATGTATTTAGGATCTAATAACATTCTCACTTGCAAATTTGAACGTAGATAAGTTAAGTAAAGCATGAACTACCACTCTACACCTAAGTTTAGAGCTCTCTTCCTATGGCTTAGATTATATAAAATACGCTCGAATAAAAAAAAAATCTAATATTAATAAAAATGATCCTATTTTGTTTGGTGAAAAGGAAAATGGTAGATGTAGTTGGAAAAAAAAAAAAAAAAAGTAAATGTGTAATGTAATATGTAATGGTCTGAATTAAAGTATACCAATATAGTAGACGCACGTTAACAATAGCCCGTCTAGCTCAGTTGGTAGAGCGCAAGGCTCTTAACCTTGTGGTCGTGGGTTCGAGCCCCACGGTGGGCGTGTGTTGTTTTTTCATTATTTGTGATAGTTTTTGCTGGCCATGCCAACTATGCGCCCATGCCTTAACCTTTTGGAAGTCCAAAATAATAATTTGTGTTTTGGTAGGTCCATTTGACAAAAAAATTGTACACAGACTGAGAGAGAGGGTATGGTAAGCATAAAGAGAATTGGGTGAATTCTTACTTTTTGGAAGTCCAAAATAATTTGTGTTTTGTTGTAGGCTTATTTGACAGAAAAATTGTAGACAGATTGAGAGAAAGGGTGTGTGAAGTATGAATTTTGAGGTGTGTTTTTTCACCCCCTACCTTTATTTATAGTAGTAGGGTAGGGAAGATTAATTTCTTACTCCAATTAAGATTAGGATAATCTTTAAAGATAAGATATGATAGAATCCCATAAGATTTTTCAGGATTTACACAATCACATTCCTAAACTATTAGAATTGCAACAGTCCCTTTTAAGTGTGTAAATACTCAATTAAATGGCATATTAGGTCTTCATCAATGAAGTAAGTTTAGTTGATGAAGTTGTCGGCACAATAAGCGATTGGGAGTCTCAAATCAATGGAAAGAATGCAAAAAAGGTAAAACTCACAAAACTTCACTATGGTAAAACCTAAGGTGGTATAAAACCCCAAAGACTAAGGAGAAACGTGAGAAGTTACATTAGGTTAAAACTATACGTCTTCTGAATGCAAGTAGCAAGCTTACAAGGGTATGACCATCCCAGGATGGGTGCCTGATTAAAACCTAGTTAGGTAACAACAACCCAGTGGGAAAAATGCTCATAATCATAATAAAAAAGATAACATTAAGATCAAGTAAGTATACTTCTGGATACTCTACCCGAGTTTGACAAAACTTCTATATGAGAACTACAAGCATAGCATATGAATAGTTAGGCATACCAATTCCTCGGACAAGCTTCTGGAGGTAAACTTCAGCAATGATGTTGTGAAGAGGTCGACAAAGCTGTCTGGGATCGGCTTGTTTGACTCCAGTCTCCTGCTGCTTTTCTGATGTGATATAGACGCAATATGTCAACATTGACTTCATTGATGTATCATGTCTTGGTCTAGTGATACATGCATCATAGTCTTCACAAATCGTCGTCGGGACTCAACAACGGATGAAAACAGTAGGTATTTTGAATAAGCTCAATAAGAGCTCACAACCATGTCTCACGTATGGTGTAGTGAAGGTGAGTCTTAGGTCGATTCAAAGATTTCGCAATGACCTCTAAGATATTACGATAACTATGACGGTAAAACCATTCGGGGACGTGCCTTGGGCAGGTTTGATAAGTAACCTGATTTAGCATAACTAATAAGGCAAACATCATTCCAAGGATAGGAGGCGTTAGATCCACTCAGGATACGACGGGATAAGCCCAAATCCATAGTACCTTCAGGGTAGTGGCAATATGTTTTTAATACCAATGGTGTAGGTGCAGTGCTACATCTTTATTAATAGATCAACATCAAAGGAGATGTCTTGTCTAATGCAATGAGCTAGGTATAAAAAAAGTACAATTTTGAACTTAGTACCACTTTAAGGGTTGCATTTGCATATAGAGTATGGAAAATCATAGGTATACTCAAAGGTAACACCTTCTGGATGTAGTTCAACTGCTGGGCCAAAATACCGTCAAAACAACGTTTTAACTTTAGTTTAAGGCATAAACAAGTTTTCCTATGATCTTTCATCTCAAATTTTGTCTTTAGGTGTGAGGCAGTTTTCTCAAGCTCTTCTAGAGTCTTAGTGAGATTCATGTCATGGACACAAAATTGTAATTTTAGCAATTCGGAATATGACTTTGTAGTTTAAAACACAAGGGCATAATTCATATCCCTGACTGATCAAATAATCACTTAGACGGGCATGCCACATCCGTTGGGTTGCTTCAATCCGTAAAGTAAACGCCTCAAACGAGTTGAGAAAGTGTTCCGTTGTTTGGAACTATATAAACCAGTCCATGTAATTATTCGAGAACTTACATGTAATTCTTTGTATCAATATCCCCATAAAGATACACTAACCACATTCATAATTTTGTAGTAAATCACAAGGCATATGACCGAAACCTAGCGTCGTAAGGCGTGCATTTCATTCATCTCATTACTCTTCCTTTCTCACTAGTAACAAACATGGTTACCTTAGGTAGTGGAGGAATGATAGGACCAAATACACTTTGGTAAGGAATTAAACCTGAATTGTGATTTTAGTTGTCCAAATAGTTCTACGTTGTCACTAATCAATGGAACATGGTTCTATATCATCGCTTTTCATTTATGTTGGTAGCTACCATATAAGTGAAAACATCATCGATTATAATCTTATTACTATTCCATATCTCATCCAAACTAGTATGCTAGACCAAGAACTTCAAGTCTCGAGAGTAGTCTGGATTTAATCTCATGAGATGGATTCATTTTGTGCCATGTTCTTCCTTTTCTAGGGAAGTGAATCCTATGAATTGAGTGATCTCTTCGGCTTCAAGCCAAGACGAATTGATTGGCTATCTCACTTTAAATGCTTGAGGAATTTGTATGCGTAACTATCTCACTTGTAATACTTGTAGTTCTCATTTGGAAGTTTTATCAAACTCAAGCAGATTATCTAGAAGTATCACACTTGACCTTAATATACTCTTTTTCCCTTAGATTAAGAGCATCTTCCCACTAGGCCACGTGGTTTTGCTACATGACTGGGTTTTAACGTGAATGTAGACATATAAATTTTGTTGCATACAAAAGGTGCATCATAAAGCTCCACGTGGCATATGACTCATCACAAATGGACAAGTCATCAATGACATGTGGCACAAATCAAGCAAAAGAAGGTCAAAACTTCCCCAAAATTCGGCAAAAGGGGGGAATCTTTCCTTAAAATCGGCAAGGGGTCCAAATTGCTCCCAAAACCAAAAAGAAAGCTAAAGCATCTTCACAAAACAAGCAAGATTTGAAGATTGCTCACAAAATACGTAACAAGCCCTATAATACGGCCAAGCAAGGGAAAGTGGCTAAAATTAAGACACAAAACATGCCTAAATTATCCCATGGATGAATCAAGACACAAATCAAGGCCAAATCCATCCATAGGATTGGCTTTGGACGTTTGTAAATACAAGGTCCCAAGGCACACATAGGGGTCAAAAATTTCTACACATTGAGAAGAACCTCTGCCAAATGTTTAAAGACTAATACGCTACCAAAACTCTCTTCAAAGAACGCACAACCAAAGCCGAAGTTTTCTTTCGACCAAAGCCAAAGCATTCCCTTGAAGAATCAACAAGCACTCGTGCCGACTCCTTCAAGACTTTGTTGCAAGCTCAAAATTTGTAATGATGTTCGTTTCAAGATAAAGTCGTCAAGACCCTTGAATTAACGAAATCCTACACCAACACTACCTTTGCCGCAACTTTGAGGTGAAGACTATCCAAGCATTGTTTCAAGCTCAAAACTTGAAGCAATCATTTAATCGTTCATCCGAGATCAAGTCATTGCGACCCTTAGATCAACAGCCTATGAATCTACATCAAATTTGAAGACTGAATCAGAGGAAAATTGTAAACAAAGATTGTAACTTATAAATTCAAATCAATACAAATCAACTTCGTACACGTGTTGTCGTTTTATTCGATACAAAATTTTCGTGTTTACAAATTCGGCACGCCTGGTGGGACATCTCTGCCTCTCATCTTTGTCTTCAAATTCGCAAAAAGCACAAATGGCATCCAAAAAGGATCAAGTTGTTCCCGCAACCAACGCGAAGAACAAGAACATCCTTGCCGCAAGTGGTGGTACTTTAGGCATCACAACCTGAAGAAAGGTAAGAGCTTTCTCTGCCATGCCTTCCACCTCTACACTAAACTTGTCGAATGAGTAAGAGCACCAGAGGCATGGGCCTGTGATCACCTTGGCCTCATTAAGGATGCCAAAGGAAGAAAGCCAGATGAGGTACTCCGAGTCGTTGACTTCCAATGCAGACTCAAGCAGCAGCTCATATCTTATAGACATGCAAGTCATGACTATTGGTGCGACTTCAATCGAGGAGCAGCTGGCACAAATGAATGAAGCAATTGCAAGGCTAATAAGGACCATGGAGGAAAATGACTTACTGATTGCTACACTTGTTAACCGTCTGGAGGCGCAACATGACGAAAAAGCTGATTGTGACCCAAAGGTTGATCTATAAAAGAAGGAAACTGACG